GGGGGGGGGCGGCGGTGCTGCTGGCGCCCATGTGGCTGCGGCTCACTTAATCTGCCCTGGGAGTGGTGGAATGGTGGCCTGGGAGCCACCTCCTGGGCGCTGGGATTGGCTCACCTCCTCTGCCCTACTCAGCTCCTTCCTCCAGAGCCTTTCTTTATTTTTTATCTTGACAAGGTCATGCTAATTGCCTGGGCTGGGTTTAAACTTGCGGGTCCTCCTGCCTTAGCCTCGCAAAGTGCTGATTATAAGTGTGTGCTACCATGCTTGGCTTTTGTATTGTTTTAGACGTTTGATTTTTACCAACAAGTATGAAAACCTAAGTAACAATAGGGATAGATTCTCCAGAGACAGAGTTTGGGATAGCAGAGGATTGCAGTGAGGATATGAGTGCCATGGTAAACTGCATGTTCAGAACTGGAGCCAAAGGGGCGTTTCTAAAGGCAGAACGGCTACAGGGACCAGTAAGGGAGCAGTTGTTGGGCAGATGTTCACGTGATGTAACTTGTGTAAGATTGCAGCGGCATTGTGCAAGGTTGCAGTTGCTGGCAGGCTCTTGTGTTCATGTTATCTGGTAAAATACGCATAAGAAGCCCTCTTTCAGAACCTCCCCACTGTATTTACTACTACTAGTACTTCTTCATCTTCTGCCTCCTCTTCTTTGCTTCTTATTTGTTAGGGCTTGACACAAGTGACTCCATTTGATTCTGACAGTTTTCACAGCTCAGATTCCATGTTTCCTTAGCACCTCTCAGGGATGTAATAGTAATTTGCAAAGATACTATTATTTCACTTTATCAAGAGATAGTCTTTTAAGATTACTTTAAATATCTAAGGAGCACTTCCTCTTTAATTTATATCACTTTTTCTGTTTGTGGTTTTATTTATTTATTTATGTATTTAGTGGTACTGGGGATGGAACTCAGGACCTTGTCCTTGCCAGGTAGGTGTGGCGCTACTGAGCTACACCCCATCCCTGTTTGTGGTTTTAAAAGAAGTATCAATAACTACCTACCACTTATTAAACTGTACTTGGGACAGCAAAGCATACTACTGTATATATCATTTTATTTAAACTTCAAACTCTTATGACTCCACTGATTTTACAGAAAGGGAAATTAAGAGTTTTACTTGCCCAAGACCATGGAACTGCCAAGTGGCAGAGTCAATATGTTAACCGTTTCATTGTGTTTCCTCCTTGGGCTGGGCTGCAGTGTTGTGTGGAGCACTTGCACAGTGTGCAAAAGGCCCTGGGCTTAATCCCTAGTACCACACACGTGTGTGCACACAAATGCATGTGCACACACCTTCCTCCTATTCTCTCCTACCATAGGAGGGAGTATTACATCACTAATAAGTAAGTGCTTCCTTATTAATATAACTTTGAAGACCTTTAATCATTTTGTTTCTTGAGATTTATTTCTAAATCTTATGTGTTCTTGCCTAAATTCTACTTGATCTTCGCCAAAAGGCTGAGAAGCAATTGCCTACATTCCATTACTTGTTTTTCTTTTTTTTTTTTTAATGGAGTGGGTACAGGGGATCAAACTCAAGAGCAGCATACCACTGAGCTCTGTCCCATCCCCTTTTAGTTTTTATTTTGAAATAGTCTCACTAAATTGCATAGGCTGGTCTCCAACTTGTGATCCTCCAGCCTCAGCCTCCCGAGTAGTTAGATTACAGGTGTGTACTGCCAAGAACTGCTTACTCATGTTCCTTACCCCTAGCAGAATTACTCTGTCTGTGATAGGACTGTCACTTTATTTCCTTTCCACTTCTCATTGATCTCTATCACTTTGCATTTCTTTTTTTTTTTTGGTACTGGGGATCGAACTCAGGACCTTGTGCTTTTGAGGCAGGCGGCGGAACCACTGAGCTAAATCCCTGGCCCGATTTCTGAAGTACGTATTCAGTTGTGCCACCTCTGTACGCACGTGCATTGCCTTTTATTTGAGCCAGGGTCTCGTTATATACTCCAGGCTGGCCTCAAACTTACTGTATAGCCTAGGCTTATCTTGAACTTTCAGCCATCTTCCTGCCTCGGCCTCCCAAGTGCTGGGATGGCAGCAGGTATGTGCCAGCACACCTGGTTTACACATTGCTTTTTTTTTTTTTTTTT